GAGCCCCAGGACCTGCCCCTTCCCCTCCCAACCGTGGCAATTTTGGGGGGAAAAAAGCGTTCCGAAAATCCCTGGCACGGCCGTCTGCTGGGAGCCTATGTGGGCAGCGCCGGGAGTTAACAGATGGGTTGTGGATTGGAGCTTACGATAAGGTTACTGAGGGTGGTTTTGTTTTAAAATGTCTCTTACTTAATATATCCATGAAGGCCAGGCATGTGCCTGTGGCCTGTAATCAAACCGCTGACTCTCCCTCTCTCTCATTTCCAGCAATCTCGTTTCGGGTTTCTGGCACCGGAGGTGAAAGAACAGCCACGTCTGGGCCCGTGCAGGAGGTGCCGCACGGACACGGTCGCTCCTCACCATGGGACGGGTGGACAGCCTCGAGGCCTCCATAATTAACACCCATTGCTTTTTTCTTGCAGAAGAAGTTTCTGCAGGAGCCAAACCCTCTCTAAGAGAGCGGGGTGCGCTCCTTGCCCAGCCTGTGCTTGGTCAACGTGGCGGCTCTTCTTGCCAACCAGGTGGATCTCCATCCTTGGGGTTGGATGGGAAGGTCCTCGGTGGGCAGCAGAATCACAGAATGGTTTGGATTGGAAGGGAACTGGAAGATCATCCAGTGCCACCCCCTGCCCTGGGCAGGGACACCTCCCACCACACCAGGTTGCTCCAAGCCCCCTCCAACCTGCCCTTGAACCCCTCCAGGGATGGGGCAGCCACAGCTTCTCTGGCCAACCTGGGCCAGGCTCTCACCACCCTCACACCAAAGAACTTCTTCCCCACATCTCAGCCCCCACTCCCCTCCTTCAGTGTCGACCCCTTCTCCTTCATCCTAGGGCTCCCCTCCCTGATCCAGAGTCCCTCCCCATCTCTCCTGGAGCCCCTTGAGGGACTGGAAGGGGCTCCAAGGTCTCCCTAGAGCCTTCTTCAGGAAGAACCCTCCCAACTCTCTCAGCCTGTCCTCACAGCAGAGGGACTCCAACCCTCTGATCATCTTTGTGACCTCCTCTGGACTCACTCCAACACCTCCATGTCCTTCCTGCACTGAGGACTCCAGAGCTGGACACAGGGCTCCAGGTGAGGTACCCAAGAGCAGGGTGCTCTCAGCCACGCAGGACAGTCCCTCCATCCAATGCCCACCCCCTCACTGCAGCCCGAGGTATCTTGGTTGATATGGGATGTATCAAGCCGGGCATGCCCAGGACCAGCAGCTCCCAGCAGACCTGCACCTCTGATTTCCCACCTGTAGTGTCCAAAGCACGTGCAGGAGAACCCGTGTGCCTCAGCCAAAGGCAGGAGCCTGAAAGTTAAATCACTGCGGGACTTCAGACCGGTTTGTCACCCACCAGGGCTCTGCCTCGTCCTTCTGGCAGCCTGGAGAGAGTTGCAAAAAAGAAAAAAAAACAAAAAAAAGCTTGAATTGAGCGTGAAGTGGGGTGGCTCCAGCTGCGTGTGAGTCCCGGTGGCAGCCACAGAGCTGGCCACGCTCAGTGCCACCACCAAAGGCATCGTCCACACCTTAGAGGGAGTCGAGATTTATTGCTGGGAGCACCAACCCCACCTGGGTAGAACACTGGGAGAACCCGGGGGGAAAACTGCTGTCTCTGGGTGTGTCCCGGGGGGCAAAGGACCCCCCCTACCCCCAGCACTGCCCCACACGTGAGAGCTGCGGGTGCCAGGCTGGCACCCATGGGTGAAACTGGCCCCAGGGCCATTCAAATGAAAGCCCTTCCCCTCCCGGAGCGGAGTCTGCCAGC